GCAACAGGTGCTTGATAAAGAGACTTGATGGCATAATAAAACTTTCCATTAACACCAGAGTTTAACAACCTATACTGAAGAAGTTCCCTATTAATCCAGTCGAAAGCCTTTTTAAAATCAATAAAGCAAACAAAAGTGGACTTATTCAACTTAATTCTTGCACGTATAATGGAAGTTACTGCATATATATATGATCAATACATGCTCTGGATTGTCTAAATCCGTTTTGCTCATCTACAAGCAAACGTGTCCTCTCAAGATGGTCTACAAGTCTGTTATTTAAAAGTGAAGAGTACAATTTATAGACACAGCTAATGAGGCTTATTCCCCTGTAGCTGAGTGGCAGTTTGGGATCATTTTTTGAAGATTTTGGAATAGGTTTAATAACAGTCTTGTGCCACTGTGTCGGAATAATGCCACTGTCAAAACAGGACTGAAATAACTCATATAACACATCAAACAATCTCGGCGACTTTAACATTTCATTTGAAATTTCATCAATTCCAGAGGCTTTTTTCCGTTTGCATTTATCCACAACATTTTTTACCTCTTCAACAGAAAAATTTGCATTCAAAAATGAGTTACAATTATTTACATCAACTCTCATTTCAGTTTCCATAACCTCATTTATACTAGTTACTTCACTCAAAAAAGTATCATCAAAAGAACTTTTGCAACCACAAAATAAATCTGTGAAGTCTTTCTCCCACTTTTGTAATACTACTACTCCTAAAACAGAACTATATTCACCATTCTCGAGTTTAACCTCCATGGGTATTTCCCTAGACTTTCTGGAACCTAATCTATTGATTTCATTCCAGAACTTTTGGGGATTGTGGGTTTGTAAATAATCAATATGCAATGACAGACCTCTATTAAAACTGCGTTTCACTGTGCGTGTATCAAAATTAGTTTGGCTTTTCTTAAATTCTATCTTCCGCCCTTCCCTCAGATTTTTGATTTGGATCTTAGAAATCTTTTCTCTGCTGTTCTTAGATTGTCCCATAGGGTCTGCAAATCTTGATTCCAATAGAGTTTGTAGATTTTACTAAAACCTTTATGAGGATTACATTTCTTTTTAACACATTTATTCAATTCTAAATGGACACAGCCACACAGTCTATCCTACCAGGCATCCAGACTCCTTTGATTGTTTTTAATACCTCCCAGTTGCACACTTAAGTTAAGCAAAATGTTGTTACATTGGCTAGAGGATGAATATGAATCAGGGAGGTGTTTTTGTGTTACTGCTTTTATAGTGTGTGGTAGATATAAGTCATCCTCAACAAAGCTTAGTCTTACTTGAACCTTTAACCATGATAATGAATGATCGGGTAATTTACATCTATCACCCAGTAGAGAAAACCCCTGTTCCCCTAATCTCTCAATTAACTCATTTGGGTTGAAAACACAAAATGTATCACAAATGTTTAAACATTCATGAGGAACAATAATATAGTCTACTACCGTCTTTCCTTTAACTGAAACAGAGGTGAAGTTATCTTTGCCAAAAGGTATTCTTCCATTGATCACACAGCATTTTGCATCTCTCAAAAATCAATTAAAATTTCCCCATAGTTATTAATGGTGCTGTCTAAATTATTTCTGTTAGGAATATTATCCACATTACTTATACAATCATCAAGACTATC